CAAGAGTTTTATTAAGATAAGGTAAAGAGACAGAGGTGCACAGGCCTGTGGAAAGGACACGTGAGTAAAGATGGCACCAGGAATCATGGCGCCGGCTTATAAAGGCTGGGCCATGCCTGTGCATACAGGCCCATGTGGCTGTTCTACGAATGTGCATAGATCACATGGTTGTGCTGCGTGCTTTTTGCAACCATGCAAAGTCATGGGGTCCTGGTCACAGGAGATGTTTTGACCCGGAAATGACTAGGCAGAAGTGACTAGGGCCTGCAGGGCATGCCCAACCATGCCCAACCGTGGGGGCGTGTTGTGAATCCATACCAGTAACCCTAACTGCCATTGTGGAATTGGGGCAGTGACAGCCCTGGCTTCTTCCAGCTAGATGAGGCCATTGGGCCTGGCAGCCAGGGTACCCCTCCAGCAGGCCTACCCAAAAGCACGTGGGTGCTTTTGTTTGGATACCAAGCAGGTGTCTGGAGGAAGGGAAGTCCTTGGCTGGTACCCGAATAGAAATGGGAGAGCTATTGGCATTACAAGGCTAGGCAGGAAGCCGGAGAATAGAACAGAGGACATTCCCTGCCTCCACCCAGTTTTTCAAGACAGGGTTTCTCTGTAGTTTTGGTGTCTGTCCTGGATCTTACTCTATAGACCAGGCTGGCCTTGAACTCAGTGATCCGCCTCGCTCTGCCTCCTGAGTGTTGCGATTAAAGGCGTGTGCTACCACCACCCAGCTAGAGGACATTTTCTTTAAGGTCCAAATCAAAGTCCATTAGAATCTCTTTTAGAGATTGAGCCTCCAGGCCAACCTGGTCTACAGAGTGAATTTCGGGATGGCCAGGTCTACACGGGGAAACCCTGTCTCAAGATTACAGCCTCTATCAATTAGGCGCCTTGTTTTTCTTTGGCCTCTAAGGCTGGTTTCCAGAGTGATGAGCCCAGGATTTGCTTTCAGATGCCTAGACAGCTGTTGGCATGTCTAGAATCAGAAGGCCCTCTCAAATGGCTCTAGATAGGAAGAGAAATGAAACTTTTAGGTTAGAGCAATAGTGGACCTGTCTCCCTTAGCTTTAGATAGGTATAGCAGAGAGCTAGGGTCTGAAGTCTCCTACCTTCTTTCTTTTTTATTTTTTAAGACAAAGTTTCAATGGGTATCCCTGGTTGTCCTGGAACTTGATCTGTAGTTCAGGCTGGCCTCAATCTCACAGAAATCTACCTATCCCTATCTCCTGAGTGCTGGGATTAAAGGTGTGCACCACCTCCGCCTGGCTATTTTTCTTATCAAGAAAAAAACCAGTGATAAATTTGTATGGATGACATCCCACATGGGTTTAAATCTAATGTCCAGGAAGTGAGATCTTTGGACTGTTAAAGAAACACACCCCTCATTTTAGTCCTTGGTTACACTTTCTTGTGTGATATTTAAGACCATGCAGGTGACCAGAATCAATACTTTCTTTTAACAGTTAAGATCAGTTGAAGATCTAGTCCTCAGGGGTCACTTTAATTTAGAGGAACCTCTGGCTTCTCCGGCTTCCCTTTACCACTTCCACCATGGAGGTCTGGAATCATCTCTGTGGTCTAATGTCAAAATGCAATGGCCTCATCACAGGGCAGTAGAACCATGCTGGAGTCTCCTCGGGGTCTCCCACTTCCATGATTCCATTAGGCACCAAGCCAGGTGAAAACCAGAAAAGAAAACAAAGTTGGGAGAAGAGAACCGGGACATGTGCCTGGGCTGTAATGCAGGAAATTATAGAGGTGCAGGAATCCCCTGGGAGCTCAGGTGGATTACTGGTGCTAACATTTTGATTCATGCAACGTGTGGTAACCAAGATGGCAGTGAAGTCACATGGTTATGGCCATCTTGATGATGTCACTAACTAAGGTGATAACCAATTCTCTTGGTTGTCTTCATCTTGATAAGGTCACCAGCCAAGATGGTGAGAATACAATATAGTTACTTTTTGCTTATTGTGAGCGCAGCTCTATGATAAAATTAGCCATCAGGACACAAGTCTCTCTGGGATCCATGTCTCACAGATTAGATGTGGACAGTTACTCTTCTTTTGAAAAAAAAAATAAATAAAGGCACTGAGTTAGGTTAGCCTGGATGTAGGAGAAAACAGTACATGTAGCCTAGGCATGTGAATCTGGAAAAGGAAAAAAGAAAAACAAAGAGACAGAGGAATGACTTCATGGTCTCACTCCAAGAAAAGGGAGTCCATATGTCTTAGCACACACACACTGTAACCTTCCAAGCGGCGTCACCTAGATCTGTTTTGACCTCCCTGCAGTTTCACGGGCAGGGGAACCATGACAGGAGAGGCAAGTGTAGGTGTGCCCAGTGCCTGTAGGTGGTGCTGTTGCACTGGGAGCTCATGGATGGGCTGGGAAGGCGATCGGCAAGGGAACCATGCATGATAGGAGAGGGCAAGTGTAGGTGTGCCTGGTGCCTGTAGGTGGTGCTGTTGCACTGGGAGCTCATGGATGGGCTGGGAAGGGGAGCGTGACCTTAGCACCATTTTCTCTCTTAGGCTGAAGTCAGACAGATTTGTGAATACTGAATGGAGTTGAGGAGCCTCTGGGCCAACCAGAGGAGTAGTTATTCCCTGTCTGGGGAATTTATTTCTTTAGGACTTTTTAAAAACTTAATTGTTTCTCATCCTAGCTTTATAAGATTAATCTACGAGACTGGAATCCCTACCTGATAGAGGTTTCTTGCACTTTGATAACCAATCAGAATCTAAGCATCTAGTAATGGAGGCTTCTTGTACTCTAAGTTTGGATGCTTCATACATCTCCAACCAATTCCCTTGTGGGACAGTGCCCTTTGTTGGGCACTTAGCCTTCGGAAGCCAGCAAGGACACCTTTGGAGTTATGGATCAGGACTCCATGCTCACTTCATGTCAGTGACACGTCTCATTCATTCTCTTATTCAACCCTGGGATGGCCCAGCCACCAAGGCGTACTGGGCCATCTTTGCATTTCCTACCATGGTCTTCTGCATGGGAGCTTTCCGGTCTCGAAGGCATTTTCTTGGGGCTTCTCACATTCCTGAGAAACTTTCTGTCCTGGAATTGCTATGGATCCAAGAGTGCCATTCACCTGAGATCATGGAGGCCACCACAATGGGGGTGGGACACTCTTCCCCTAAAGGAGGGATCTAAACACTCTCTCAGATGGATTTGAAATCCCGGATGAGCCCCACAATTGTTATCAAAATAAATCTTGGTGTCACACAAAGGAGCACTCTAAAAAAGAGAAAGTCACTTGGCAAAGCAGTTTCTTTTTGTAGAAAGGGCACACTAGAAACCCAGTAGGGATGTTGAGCTTGCCTGCCAAGACGGCCTTGGTCCTCTACCCCAGAAGCAGCTGGTGAATGTGTCTCACCCCATTGGTTGTAGCACAACTTTACAATCTAATGTGATTGGCTAATTGAGACAAAATGGAAGGGGGAGGTTCAGGAACTATGGGATCTTATTGGGCTAAATACCTTGATAGAAAAAAATTTGTTTCTCTCAGGCATGCCCAAGAGGCTTGTCTTCCTAGTGATTCTAGACCTAACTCATTAAATCCACAACTGAGATGAAACGTCTTAAGATCAAAACTATAGTAGGGCACATTTGGTCCATGAGCTAGGATGGCCACAATATCCCAGCTCCCATGGGAATGGCTGGTTCAGGTTTACGCTTGTGCCCCAGGAGGGGAAGATGACAGCCTTACCTGGTTTAGCAACTCAAGGTGGAGAGAAGCTGTATGTATGCTGTCACTGTTGGTTTGGAGGGGTCACTGTTGATTTAGGGAGTCACTGTTAGTCTGGGAGGGGTCACTGTTGGTCTGGAGGGGTCACTGGTAGTCTGAGAGGGTTCACTGTTAGTCTGGGAGGGTTCACTGTTGATCTGGGGGGGGTCACTGTTAATCTGGGAGGGGTAATTGTTGGTCTGGGAGGGGTCACTATTAGTCTGGGAGGGGTCATTGTTGGTTTGGGGGTCACTGTTGGTCTGAGGAGGTCACTGTTGGTTTGGGGGTCATTGTTGGTCTGGAGGGGTCACTTGATCTGGGGGTTACTGTTAGTCTGGGAGGGGTCACTGTTAGTATGGGGGGTCACTGTTAGTCCGGGAGGTCACTGTTGGTCTGGGGGGTCACCGTTGGCTTAGGGGGGTCACTGTCAGCCTGGAAGGTCACTGTTGGTCTGGGGGGTCACCGTTGGCTTAGGGGGTCACTGTCAGCCTGGGAGGTCACCGTTGGTCTGGGGGGGTCACTGTTGTTCTGGGAAGGTGTGATTTTGGAGTTATTGATAGATATGTTATATGGCAAGAGAAAGTCTATAAATTGAAGTTGAATAGAAGCTGTTGTAGTGAAGCTGTTTCTTCTGGGCCTGACAAGACCTTTGGCCAGATTTGAAAAGACTTAGGACAGATTGCTATGGAGACTACAGAACACTCTGGCCCTGCTGTCATGGCAACCAAACAGCGAAGTTGGCAGGGACAGGTAGGCCTGTGCAATGATAACGGGGCTGTTAACATTCCCTCCTTTAAGGCTCTTGTCCGAGCCTTACCACCCTGTTCTGTCCTAACCCGTCCTCCGACTACATACGCTACAGCAGTAGGAAGTTGGTCGGAGTTGGGACTCAGGTGGTGCAGCTTTGGTGAATTGTTGTCATGCTGGGGTGGGACTTGTCAGTGAGGAGTCACCCAAGCTTCTGTAACCCCTCACTCATGCTCCTCTAGGTGACCTCTCACCCAAGCTCCCCTAAGCCCTACCCATGCTCCTGTGGGCACCCCTCACCTGTGCTCCCGTGAACCTCACTCATGGTCCTGTAAGTAATCACTCAGCAGCAATCCTAAAAATAACCCAGTGACGTCCATCGGCTCTGGATGGAATACTCCCTTTGTTGATGTCCTATCTGTAGGGTGAAAAGGGCCAAGGGAAAACACCCTGACCCTGACTTGACCCCAGGAGGCTTGAAATCCCACCAATTCCTGAGCTTGCCCCAGAGTCAGGCTACAGAATCTCACCAATCCCTGAGCTCAAAATCCCATCAATCTCTGAGGTCCCTGAGCTTGAAATCCCACCAATCCCTGAGCATGCCCTAGAATCAGATCACAAAAGTCTACCAATCCCAGGCAACCTTGGAAAGCTCCAATCCCCTCCTCCCAAGAAGCTCTGTACTCAGTTCAGTTTGCTGCGGCTTCTTGCACTAGAGGCAGCCACCTTCCTGGATTTTTCCTCCCCCTTCCCCTACCAATAAATCTTTTCAGTGAGGTTTCTTGTACTTTGTAACCTTTTCGCTGATTCTGATCCCAGCTGTAACTGCTCAGCGGAAGAGAACTCTAACACTTTTTCTGGGGAAACTTCCTCTAGGAGAGCAGAGTTGTTACACTTCTGGGACTTTGCTGGGGAAACCCTCCTCTGCTGGGGCAGAGTTGTTACATTGGGGAAACCTTTCCCCGCAGCAGAGTTTTAAGTTGCTACGCTTAGAGTGACTTTGTGGTACTCCTTGGCTCCTGACTGCCAGGATACCTCTACATCCAAGCTGTAATGCTCACACTATCTGTATTGAAGAGACGTTTCTTTACTTCTCCCGAGAAAAAAATCACACAACAGAAACAAAGTGAAGAGGAAATGCATTGTTGTGACGTCATCAACGGGGTCCTGAATTTAGTAATATCTGAAAACACAGACTTCCAAAAAAGACAGTTTGAACTTTGCAGTTACATCCATCAGTAGATCCCGTTTCTCTTTAGGCTGATTAAAGTTTGTTTTCTATCACTTTCAAATAACACATTTACTAATTCATGACTATTCTCTTTTGGGCTTTTTTTTTGTAATTAGCTTTGTGTATTATTTGTTTTATTTTGATTTGGGGGGACTATTTTTGGAGATAGGATGGGCAGAACTTATCTATTAGTGTCTGATGAGGCTATTAGAGCTCATTATAACCCTGAGGTTTTAGTTTTGAGTTATCTGTAGTAACAGTATTAATTAAGACACATGAATAAAGAATTTGGGTAATAAATAACCCAGGGCAGATTAGAATAACATACTTTTTGTACTAGTTACTTTTGTGTCCCTAGAGTGGACTATCTAACAGAAAAAGTTCAGTTAGGGAGGGTTTGTTTTGGGCTTGCAGTTTGGAGCCGTCAGCCTGTGGTTGTCTGCCCGAGTGTGCTTGGGAAGAGCATGTGAATGGGAGTATGAATTAAGAGTGCTTGTCCACCTCATGACAGAGAGGACATAGAGTGAGGGGCAGACAGGTGCTTGAGGCAAGATAGAGTCCAGAAGGACACAGCAATCGACCAGACCTGCAGCTTCCAGTTTCCCTAAATAGGGACAGTAACGAGACACAAAGCCTCCAAACATGAACTTGTTGAGGACAATTGCATTCTAACCTTAAGTTTCCAAAAGACATAATTTCAAGGATTCAGGTGACACTTCTGACTCAGAGTGTGTGGTTATTTTTATGGACAGTTAGTGGTATTAATCCAGGAAAGGGAACTTCACAATGTGTAAGATCAAATGCTTTATGGCAACCTTACAATAAATAAGCACCTATAGATAAAAAGTGTGGTGTGTGTGTGTGTGTGTGTGTGTGTGTGTGTGTGTATGTAGACAGGGTCTCATTTGATTAAGGTTGGCCCCACTATGTAGCTGAGGTTGGCTTTGAACTCCCAATTCTCCTCCCAAGTGTTGAACTTACAGGATGTTCCACCATGCCTGGCTTATAGAGAAAATTCTTTTTTTTATTAATTAAAAAACAATTTTTGTGTGTATGAGTGTATTGCCTGCCTGCATGTCTGTGTACCACAAGCATGCATGGTACCTGCAGAGCTCACAAGAGAACATCAGATCCCCTGGAACTAGAGTTATGGATGGTTTTGAGCCACCATGTGGGTGCTAGAAATTGAATCTGGGGCCTCTGCAAGAGGAGGAAATGTTCTTAACTGCTGAGCCATCTCTCCAACCCTGAGAAAAATTCTTGAAGAAGGTTACCCATGGGACTCAAGATTTCTCTTTTACTTATTAGAATCCACATTCTATCAGTTTGTAAATAGACTCAGCAATGGTTTCTATTTCTTATTTCCTCTAAAATTAAAAAAAAAAAAAACCAAAAACGAGTAGACTTGTCCCATGGCTCTTTGTGAAAATGACTGTCGGCATATGACGGTGCATGTGCACACAGCATCATCTCCAGACAATATCTACCCAGGGTACAGGTGACTAAGCAGAGTGATGCAAATGTGACTTAGTACATGGCCTCTGCCTGGTGGGCAAGGGCTCTGATGAGATCAAGAGTCGTGAGATATTTAATATCAATTGTCTCAGCTGGTCATGTGTCACAGCTCCTTGAGATGGCTTACTTCCTCGCTCGATGGAGGGGAAAGTTTTGTGACTCTAAGGAAGGGGGTCAGTTGCTTTCCCAAAGTCATATAACAGGTAGCAGTGGATTAGGAAGTGTGTACAGTGCTGTGAAATTCAGAAGCTTATTAACTTTCTACTTTATTTCTTTTTCTTTTCTTTTTTTTTTTTTTTGGTTTTTTTGAGACAGGGTTTCTCTGTGTAGTTTTGGTGCCTTTCCTGGATCTCGCTCTGTAGACCAGGCTGACCTTGAACTCACAAAGATCCACCTGGCTCTGCCTCCCGAGTGCTGGGATTAAAGGTGTGCGCCACCACCGCCCGGCTCTACTTTATTTCATTTGTATTCTTTTGGGGACATGGTCTCACTATGTATCCTTGACTGGCCTGAACTAACTATGTAGACCAATCTGGTCTAGAACTCATAGAAATCCACCTGCCTCTGCCTCCCAGGTACTGGGATTAAAGGTGTGTGCCATCATAACTGGCTCTCTTTTTAAAAACTTTAAAAATTACATTGTGCATGTGTCTTGGTTTATTTTCTATTGCTGTGAAGAGACACCATGACCAAGACAACTTGTAAAAGAAAGCATCTAATTGGGGGCTTGCTTATAATGTCAGAGGGTCAGTCCATGGCCATCATGGTGGGAAGCAGGCAGAAGATAGGTAGGCGTGGCACTGGAGCAGCAGCTGAGAGCTCACATCTGATCCATAAGTTGGAGGCAGAGGGCAAGAGACTGAACCTAGCTAGTGTGGGCTTTTGAAACCTCAAAACCCACCCCTGGTGACACACTTCCTTCAACAAGGCCGCACCTCCTAATCCTTCCCCAAACAGTTCACCAACCTGGAACCAAACATTTAAATATGAGCCTATAGGGGCCATTCTCACTCAAACCAACACAGTGTGTGTGTGTGTGTGTGTGTGTGTGTGTGCTCTTGCACTTGCGCATGCCCACAAGCAAACCATAGTGTGTGTGGGTATCAGAGAATAAACAGCCAGAGCCAGTTGGAGCACGTGGGTCTTGGGGGATCAGCTGAGGTCATCGTGCTTGGTGGTTAGTGCCTTTAACTGGGCCATCTCATCAGCTCTTGAGGTCAGTCTCTTGATTCTTACATGGCTTCACATTGCTCAACAATGACGTTAACTTGAACCGGGTGGGTAAAGAGAAAACACTGGATTCTGAGGTTTTCTGTAGCAGAAGGGTGTTGCCTGTAATCACCCTCAATATTCTTCCATTTTCAGTGTTGTTTAAGTCCAGAGGCAGAAACTCAGGTGACAAGTCTTTATCATCAGTGTTGAACCCCAAAGAGCCCAAGAAGGCGAAAGGACAAATTGCTCGTCTCTAACGAGGCTCTCAGGGACTATGGCCCTAGTGGCCATGGAAGCTCCTCTGACGAGCTTGTCCTGTGACTCCTTCAGATGGCCTTCTGGTTCTGAGGGCTGAGGCCAGGCTCCAGAGCCTCCTGCATACAGCCCAACAACACCAGTGACACTTCCCCCACCCTCAGACCAACAACTTCTGGCCAAGTAAAAAAAATGATGCAAGCCCAACACTTCTGGTGACATTGAGGACTGCCATCTGCTCTCAGTCAGGTCAGTAGGACTTGATATTGCATATGGGAGATGGAACCTTCCAGGGACACCCCTTAGTTTTAAGTGGAACCACGTTGTTAACAGTCCTGAGGTCACTGACCATTCTTTATAATCACCCATTCTAACCAGCGTCTGTCTTGCCAGTTCTGGGATCCTGACTGTGGAGAGTCCAGGTTGGCCAAGTTTCTGCCCAGACCTCTGATTCATTCTTCTGCTCTAATCCTACAAGTTCAGCTCAGTGCACCTAGCCAAGGAGTCCTGGTTTAGCACTTGGAGGTGAGCTCTGTAGACATGAGGCTAGAGAGTGGCACAATGTGATTATCAGTCTGGGAGTGGTTTTGGATGAGGCTAATTTGGTCTGCAGAGCGAACAGGAATTTGTGATTTGTTCAGATTAGAGAGGATGGAGAGTCCATGTTTCCTCCAAAGCAACATGGTTAATCATACTGATAACATCGATAATACTGGGAGTTAAATGCTTGCAACCTGCCAGTATCCAAGGCAACCACTCTGTGTGGGTATGTGTAGTTTTTGTGTTTTTATATTTTATTGTTAATATAGATTAATTGTATAAAATTGGTTTAATTGTGGCAGTTTTACACATGTATAAAATATACTTTGATCACATATAATTCATCTCATCTTTTACTGACTTTTTTGTCCCCTCTGGTGTCCCTGTCCCTTGAAGTAGGTTCCCTTCTACTTTAATGTT